AAGTCAATTGGGAGACACAGTGTATTCCACTCTTAGTGGAAGGTAGATAGGAGTGAATAGTTTATGAACAATAATCTAAGCTATTATATTACCCCCAAACCATTAAATCCACACTTTTGTTAACAGCCTCATTCTCAAATATAGAAGAACAGCCAAGTATTAGCATGTGTTTGAGGAATGCCTACAACATAATGAAGCATCTAAAACAGACAAATAGAAAAAAAAAAAGGAAACTGGAGGAAACTGAGACAACATATTACAAGCAGAGAACATTTAAAATATTATATATTCTAATATTAATAGATGAGATATTGTATCCATAAAATAAAATTATCATGCTATTTAAAAGGGTCAATGGAAACAAGAAATAGTTCATAGAAATGAAAAATATGGTAGATATTTTTTTTCTTAAATTCAATAGGCTTAGAAGATCAAGTAAAGGAAATCTACCAGAAGTTAGAAGATAAAGAGATGGAAAAATAAGAAAATTAGATAATCAATCCAACAGAACTAACAACCAATGTCCAGGAGTTCCAGGAAGAGGAGATATTAAAATATATGGCATCAAAATATTTTAAAATAGTAATACAAGAAAATAACCTCAAACTAAAGAAAACAAGCTTCCAGATTGAATAGGGCTCACTGAACACTCAGCACAAAGAATTTTAAAAGGCCCCATTCCAAGATCCAACATTATAAAATTTTAAAATGACAGAGAGAAAGACATGATTATAAAAGTTTCCAGAAAGAAAAAAGCAAATCATAAACCAAGTATTAGGTATCAGAATGGCATAGGACTTTTCAATTGTAATATTAGAATCTTGGAGACAGTGGAGTAGTCCCTTAAAAATCCTGAGTGAAAATGAATTTCAAAATAGAATTTTATACCCAGCCAAATTATTGAGTGTATGCATAGAATAACAGCATTTTCAGGCATGCAAATACTAAAAAAAATAAGTTTTCCATATACCTTTTCTTATGAAAGCTACCTGGAGATTATACTTGAACCAAAATTAGGAATAAATTGAGAAACAGGATGACTTATGACCCAGAAAATAGGGGACTGTAAAGGAGCACAACAAAGGCTTGCTACGAGACAGAGATCAACCAGGCCAGATGTGAGGCACCAAAAAGGATATGTACAGAAAGAAACATTTTTAAGGAACTTATAATTTATCTGATGTGTTTGGTTATTTGAAACAATATTATTGATGGGTGTTTGACAGGTTAGTCTGAATACTTGGGATAAAATGTCAGTTACTTAGAAAAATAAGCTATTAAAAATCAGATAATTCTAGAAATAATAAAATAGTGTATAAGAAAATTAATTTGAAGAAGATATTGCTTGTCTCAGTTGTGAACAAATTTTCCATACTCATTATAAAGTAAATGGATTACTGACTAGTGATTTAACCAAAACTATTATATGGGAGCATGAGGTGGGTAGGTAGAGTAAGTGATATAAGATACCTAAATCGTTACCTTTCTTAACATAGGAAGTCCATATATAAAGTTTAACATTGCAAAATCAGTAAATAGCAATATAAGTTTGTCATTTAAAAACATGAAGATAAACAGAAGAGTTGATAGTGTGTGCCATTGGGGGTTAGATTTGGAGATGAATGAAGGGTAGAGCAGGGCGCTGCTCTTCCTTTTATGAGCCATTTAGTACTATTTAGCTTAAATTAGGTGTGTTACTTTGACAAAAAAAACTTAGTAATAAAAATAAAGTTGCATATGTCCATGATAAAGAAAAGTACTTCCTACAGTGTAGAAGGATCTAAATGAACAGTAACAAGTCTCCTTTTGCCCATATTCCATCCCTGGCATTATTCTCTTGAGGTAACCACTTTTAACAGTTTCTACCTTTGGTTGTTCTTGGCGGTTGTATTTGTGACTTGAAGTATGTCTTTTGGTAAGGTGTAAAGCTATCTGGACCTGCCTTTGTCTAGTTAGCCAAAAGATGGCACTTGAAACTGCACTGTAGACATGCAGGTTAATAGTGTACTTTGAGAATAATGTACAATTGGCCTATGACTGCTGTTGGTCTTTCATCCCTGAGCCATTTATACAGCCAAAGAAGCAGCCCTGACCTAGTTGGGTGAGGCAAAGGGTTATACTGCCAGTGGGAGTATGACATTTCTGGCAAGAGATTTCTCTTCTAACTGTTGGACTTGGTGCCATGGCAGATTTTCCTGACTCAGGGAGTAAGTGTGGCACCCTGGGCCAGCTGGTTAGATTATTTGTTGATTTTGATTATCTGCACCAATAAGCCCTTTTGCTGGCATGGATAATCAGAAGCAGGCAGTAATTTTCCATCTTCCTAGCAAAAATGCTTTTCACATTTTTATATTACAATTGATAAAGTTTTAGTCAGTTTTCACCAAGATGCTGATTTATTGAGAAGGGGGAAATTGTACTGAATTAAATTGAGAACTCTTTATGGATAGTCATATATTCTTAGCTCATTTTTTTCTTCCTATAACTTTGCTTTTCTTAAAAAATAGAGGGGAAAAATCAGTAATAATGATGATACTAGCTGTCTTTTATTCAGCTCTTACAGTGTACTAAGCACTCTGTTAAGTACTCATCATCTAATGTAATCTTCACAATAGTTTTAGCAGCTTGCTACAGTTATCACTCCCATTTTAGACTAAAAGAACTGTATAATAGTTCAGTGACCTGTCCAAGGTCACAGAAAAATGTCAGAGCTGTGTCTAAGCCCTGATCTTGGACCCATGTTCTTCTTTACCTCTGTGTGTGTCTTTCAATACAACCTCTGACTTTTTATTATGTGAAAATAAAAAGTAGCTGATTTATACTTAAAACTGAATTAACACGGTAAGCTACATGCATTATTGTATAGTGCTTATAAAAATTTTATCTTTTCTTTTGAAAAAAAGTTTGGAATTTACTTTCTATTTCTGTCATTCTTTTGTATTCACTCAATTCAAAATTCTGTAGTCATCTTTGGTCTTCTGATTTCTTTTCCTTTTATTTCCATAAAGCCATCGTGTTCACTTTATATTTCTGTTTTAAGTCCCTCCACCCCTCATGTCTAGAATACTGCAACTATCTTTTCACAGTTTGCCTTCTGCCATTCTTTGCCACCTGAAGTTGATTGTACACATTGACCCAGTTTTTTAACCTCAACTTCTCTTATATTACATACCTGTTTAAAGTGTTAATGTCTCCCCATATCTATAAGGAAAGTGCAGCTTTATTAATCTATAATTCAAGACCTTTCATAATGTGATCTAATCTATCATTTCATGAGTTTTTGCACCCTTACCTTCTTTCTCGCTTTTCTTACCCGTGATAATATATCTCTCATCTGGCTACTGAGGCATGAATTTTCTCTACAACTCATTTGGTATTTTTATATGCTTTGTATTTCGATAGTCTTTTTTGTGTGTATATATCTCATTTACCAAGATGAATTGTTAACTCCTGAATGTAGAGATAGAAACTCTTTGAGTCCATAATATTATTTAGCACAGTTTTCTGCATATAGCACTTTGTAAAAAAGAATAATGAATGAATTTTTGAAGTTTTAAATTCAACACATAATTCTAATTCTATATTCTTTGTTTTTGTTAATTTTATAAATGTTAGATAAGAAAAATTTAATAGACTTTTCTATTATATTTTTCATCTCTTAGTCATATTTAATTATGATATTGGAAATATATTGGTACAACTTAATAACTTAAAATATTCTAAAGAAATGTTAGTTTCACTTACTATTCCAATCTGAAAGATATAGAAAATCTACTCTAAATGAAAGTGATATATTTATTATTACATAGGTTTAAAAAGATAATATTTGAGAACTTATATAAGTTATTATATTGTTGGTAATGTATAGTTTTGATAAATTGAATATTTACAGTGTTATGAATATAAGAAAAATATAAATGAATTATTTATCTTGCATGATGTTATAAATATAACTGGAGATTGTTCAGAATATCAAGTAATGACATGAGGAAATTTGAAATGTGTTTAACTTTAAGGCACTCTGCTTAGATATGATTTTATTTTTCAAACAGAGTGCATTTTTGTGCATCAAAATTGCTTCTTGCTTTCTGCTGAATTTGAAATGTTTCTGCTATTTCTTCTTTTTTGTTTTTCTTATTTAATAGATGAAATATTTTTTAAATGTTTCTTTTTATTTTCCTTGCTTAATTTTATAGATTTTCTATGATAAATAACTATTTCTATTTTAATATATAAATTATTCAAAACTATCATCTATATAAGGCTTTTTTGCTTTGAAATATTTGAGTTTCAGTAAGATAACGATAATTTCATCCTGAAACCAAAGAATAAACCATCATAGATTTAGTATATTTTACATGTTCATATTTATTAGTCTTAGAGGGCATTTGTTATTTTTTTAAAATGCAAATTTTAATGTAATGTTATTTTAGCCCAGAAATCTCATATACTCTTAATGCTTAAAGATTCTATGCTATGTTTTTTCTGTATTATTCTTTCCAAATAATATTAAACATTATAATGATGCCATATTTTATACCTCATATTTTTCTAAAAGATATCTCAAATTATTTTAACGTTTAATTTGGTTTTCAAAACATCTAAATGGAGCCATAATCTATCTTTCAGAATAAGAAGTCACATATTTGATGTAAATCACTGCATGTGTCTGATTGAATCTCAAACAAAAATGTAACATTTTTAAGGTAGTGGCATTTTAAAGGGAATGAGTCTTAGATTGAAAGTGCAATTATCCATTTTGACTACTCTCATGTAATCATTTTATTTTTAAAATTAGACTTAATTTTACAATCCAAAAAACCTCACTAATGTGCATTTTTGGATGTGCTAATTCCCTTTGTCATAAAATGGAAGCTAGCCTAAATTTTCTAATAATTTTTCATCACATTAAAATTCATGGCAGAAATAAAAATGAGCTAATTTTGAATTCAAGTGCATATATTTTATATGGATGCTTTCCCCTCTTCTCTCTACCTAAGGAAATAGAGAAATTGAGAATGGAACTGAGTGAAAGCAAGCAGCACTTGGAACAGGAGCAGCAGAAGGCAGCCCGGGCCAGAGAGGAGTGCCTGAAACTAACGGAACTGCTGGGCGAATCTGAGCACCAACTGCACCTCACCAGGTACTCCCTAATCCCATTATGCACCGTAGCACCGATTTCATTCCACTGATTTTTGCCACAGGCTTCCAAACAGTTGTTAGAGTTAGTCTTAGTCATTCAATTCACAAACAGCTTTCAGGCATATTAAGAAAAGTGGAGATGTGGTAAGCAAAACACCCAGACATGTGAATGATAAGTGTGGCAGGGAATTACTGATATATTACAAAACCTTTCATCTACAATGCTCAAATATTTAGGTGATTCTCTATCACTATAAGCAAAATGACATATTTCTCCTACCACCACCACTACCTCTCCTGTTAATTTTATGTCTAATAAAAATGTTGAACTGAAGAAATCTGAGGAATTTATTTAGGAAAATAATAAATAACTGTTCGAGACAAAAAGAGACAAAAAAAAAAAAACAACCTAAGATGCAAATTGAAATGGAACTGATACAAAATAAGGAATCTGCATCCTAAGGAGGTGTAAAATTTAGAGATGAAAGTGATTGGCACTGTTCATGTTCAAATCATTATTATAACCAAGCTTACCCGTTAAAGTTCAAATTAGTTTGTTTCCATAATGAGATATCGTGATGTGATTATCGATGTCATAAACTTTAGTAAACATATAGCTAAGCCTTAAATTACAGTAAGACTCCTTAGGTTACCAGTATTGTGAATTTGCTGTATTGGAAACACACACACAAACATACACATACATATACACAGAGAAAAATTCAAATAGAGATAGTAGATATTTTACTTTGCCACTTATAGTCACTTATAAATGATTTCTTCTCATTTTGAGTTTTAATATGATTTTTCAATTTCAGATCAAGCCTTTGAGTTTTTTCAGTTCTTAGAGGTTTTTAGAGAGAACTTTGTCTAAATAAACATGTAAGTTTGTGATATTTGGTTTGGTTTATAAATTAGAAAAACACTGAGATCCCAATCAGAGTAATATGTTGAGTTTAAACTACGAAAGGGGACTGATCCCTTTTACATTAAATATGACAATGTAATTCTGAGCACGGTATGATAACAGATGGAGAAAAGCACCACTTGAACAGCCTGCATTTGAAAAAAAAATATTCTGGAGGTTGGTGAACCTCCCAAAGTTTTGGGTTAGTGTTAAGATGCCTCTGGTTCTGTTAAAATCAAACTTTGTCAAAAACATTTTGTTATGATGATATTCCAAATGATTTGACACCATCCCTTTTAAACAATGAAAGAAAAACAGAAGAAAGAAAGAGAGAGAAAGGAAAGGAAGAAAATAAATCATTTATACATTTATGATATCTGGGGAAAATCCCAATAGATGAAACACTTTTAGGAGAAAAAAATGCTTAATACTGCAGAATAATAGCTGTTCTTTTAATGCCCAATTATTGTAATTGTAGAACTGAGAACAATGTTAATATAGTTCCTGTGGTTATTTAATCTCAGAAGTTTCACAATTTAGCTTCATCTTGGTAATGTTAATAGTTTTTCTTTTCGGTCAGACTTCTATTCAGAACTAACTGTTTGTGTGCTAAGCACTACTACACCATAGAAATAGGACAGCTCTTAATGTATCAGTGTGGCTGAGCTTCAGTAAATAAATATTAATGCTGGGTTTTTCCCTTTTGCCATTCTGTCTTACTCAGAGAGTTAATTTCTGAAGCCAAAGTCTGTAGAGAGTTTTCCTGTGCAGTATCAATTTGTAGTGTTTGACAAGATCAATTTCTTGCAAGTAGAGCATATTAAGATGCAGTAACTGCTGAAAATGGACTAGTGGTAACTAATTCCTTTGTTCTTAAGAAAAACGGTTTTGCTCAGTTCTGTAGAAAGCTTTTTGTGTATGTGTTAAGCTTTATTTACACCAATTCTATGAAAATTTAAACCTCTTTTTATCAGAAATAAAACTTAATTACCTATTTTCTAAGTGCAGTACTCTTTTGTAGGCAATTTATGGTTAGTCTATGTTCATATTTTATAAAATCTACATCCATAAATTTAAAGATGACAATTAGAAATGCAAGGAACTGTGTATACCTCTCTTTTGTACTGAAAATGTGACTTGGTCGTTGGGCTTACCTTTTCTCATATACATTACTTTTTTTTTTAAGAGTTTGCCACCCCTCACCATTCTTTGATGATTTAATATACTCAGGTGTGTGACTAAAAAACATTGTGTCTTTCTTTTTCAGTGTAGATCAGTTGAAATACATAACTCCCACATGATAGCACCTTACCATTCAGTCTCTACTTAAAAATTTCAAATGGCATATTCTAAACACAGTTTAAAATTGAATGTGAAAACTATGTTATAAAGTAATGATGAAATAAGGATCCCAATCTTCAGGGGCAAAGAAAATTTAAAAACTGTAGTAGAATTCAGTAGATGAATTTGAAAGAAAAATAGTCTACCACTTTTTTGGTGTTTCTCCTTATTGAATTTAAATTGGTTTTAAAATGGAAATTCAGCATTTATTGAAGGACCCAATTGGTGAGTGTAACATTCACTTAGTCAACAAATATTTATTAAACTCTATCTTTTAAGTACTTTGCTTGGCCCTAGGCATAGAGAGAAAAATAAGACTCAGTTTCTACCCTTAGGTTGCTTGCACTCTACTAAAGAAGCAAGATCTATATATGCAATTATAATAAAGAATGACAATAGGGCAATGATAGAATTAAAGATCAGCACAGGGGCACATAGAAAGGAGAATTGGCTCACTCTGCATTGGACGTGAGCATGGTGGTCAAGAAAAGCTGATTGTGAAAGGGGATAGTGAAAGGTGATAGTCAAGGAGGAGGAAATGTTTGGCAGCAATCTTGATTAATGAGTTCATGAATAGGAGTTCTCGAAGTGGAAAATGGTAGGGTGGGTACCCCAGGTAGAGGGACCAATATATGCAAAGACATAAAGATGGAAGAAAACATAAACTCTACAGACAGGTTAGGTGTTTGGTAGGACAGAACACAGAAAGGGCAGCAGGGAACAGAGGACGAGCCTTGTGGGCCATACTCTGGAGCTTGGGTCGTTCTGAGAGTAATGGGTCACTCTTGATGCATTTTAAGCAGGGCTGTCAACATGATCAACTTTCCAGGTTGGGACCCTGACTCAGACAGCAGTGTGGAGAGTGAACTTTGACAGTGGGTATAGGACACAGGAACACCAGTTAGGGCGGGGCCAGCAGTTACAGCCCCTGGGTCTAATCTGGCCCATCATCTGTTTTTGTATGAACCATGAGCTAAGAAATGTTGTTATATTTTTTATGGTTAAAAAAAGGGAAAAGTAATATTTTGTGACACATAAATATTATATATCATAAATAAAGTTTTATAGACATAGGCACAGTTATCCTTTATGTATTATGTATGGTACTACCACACCTGAGCTGAATATGATCCTGAAAACCTAAAATATCTACTGTCTTGCCCTTTACAGAAAAAGTTTACCAGCCCCTCAGATAGGAGGCTGTTTAAGTAAGAAGTCAAGAGAGCTTGAACTATGACAGATGCAAATGTGTATTTGAAGAAAGTAATTGAAAGGCATTGTGAAAATGGATGGGTTGAGGAAGAAATGACTGACAGGAACCCCAGTTAGAATACAGGCACAGTAGTCCAGAGGAGAGTAACAAGGTCCTGGGTTATGGCTGTCCCACTAAAATGGAAAGGAAGTCCCATCGTCAAGAGGCATTCTACAGTAGTAAAGAAGAGGATAGAATTAAAGGTGACTCTAAGGTTTCTAGCCTAAGTTGACTAGATGATCCATTATAACAACTAGGAAACTAAAATAGGTAGCAGAGGAAGATAATACATTTTATTTTGGAACTCAAGCAGAGACGTCCAATGTGAACTTGGTGTCTGGAGAAAGGTCATGACTAGAGGCTTAGATCTGGATGCTTTTATATAAAAATATTAGTTGTAGCCAAGGGAGTGAGTGGAAGCATGTGGAGAAGACAGTGTTTTTAAAGAACAATGAAAGAGCTGCCAGCCAAGGAGACTGAAATGGGGCCTTCAGATATATAAAAAAAGATTAAAGAAGAATGATTTAAAGAGTGCTTTGGTGAAGTAGCCACTAAAACCATATGCTTTTCTTAGGGGAGCTCCCCTGGCAGCCTGGGATTGAGGAAACCTGAGTTATAGTGTCTTCCCCAGGCATTCACTATCTTTGCAACTTTTCACAAATTATGTAACTCTTTGGGCCTGCTTACCTACCTATAAAATGAGATGAGACTAGATGATTTATAAGTTTCCTTCCAATTCTGATAGTCAATAATTCTAGGCCGGGCGCGGTGGCTCACGCCTGTAATCCTAGCTCTCTGGGAGGCCGAGGCGGGCGGATTGCTCGAGGTCAGGAGTTCGAAACCAGCCTGAGCAAGAGTGAGACCCCGTCTCTACTATAAATAGAAAGAAATTAATTGGCCAACTAATATATATAAAAAATTAGCCGGGCATGGTGGCACATGCCTGTAGTCCCAGCTACTTGGGAGGCTGAGGCAGGAGGATCCCTTGAGCCCAGGAGTTTGAGGTTGCTGTGAGCTAGGCTGACGCCACGGCACTCGCTCTAGCCTGACAGAGACGCTGTCTCAAAAAAAAAAAAAAAAAAAATAATTCTAACAATGATTTTAGACAACCCATTATTAAGTTCCTATTTCTGGACAATGGGCATTTAAATTGCTTAGATGATCCTTTTATTACAATGTTTCCGTAGTCTGGACATCAGAGATTTAATTGAAATGTCCTTCATATCCACCACTTCAATTCATTGTAACTTAGGTTCTGTTGATTTCTCACAAGGTTATGAAAATTGTCTCCTAACACCCTTCCAATCTCTTTGCTAACTATTGGCCAGTGTATATTCATAAGCTACTGCCTTAACTCTAACCATTGCCCAGTGAACATTTATAAGCCATTGCCTTGACTCTGCCACCCTACTCTCAGAACCTCCATGGTGCTACAGTGACTATTAGAAAAGGTCCAAATCAGTTGGCATGGCATTTTAGGTTGTCCCAGAAGGCTCCCAAT